CAGCAATAGTTTTAATACTAAGAATTACTCCATTAGGCCTCTTCTTTTCAGGATTAATCCACAATAAATCTAAAAGAGCAGGCTAGTATCATTACAGTCCACACTGAGAAGATAATGACTATGTATAAGAGTGAGGTTTAATGTCTTAACAAACCTCCAAATCAGTTGGCTGAATTGGTATCTGTACTGCCTGCCAACCCATGCTTATTACAAGATACAAGTCTCCCTCTGCCACAGGGTGACAGAGGTGGAATGCTTTCTGGGGACCAAAGAATTTGACACAATCAAGAACCCAACTGTGGTGCTGGGAGTAGTGGCTCTCACCTCTTATTCCAGATCCACAGGTGTCTAAGGTAAAAGAATCAAGGACTGAGGCCAGCTCTGGGCAAAAGTGAGACCTTATACCCCCCAAATAACCAGAGCATATGATGGTTTGGCTCATGGTAGAGTACCTGCAAGCAAGCACAAAACCCCAGTATTGCCAAAGAAATAAGAACCCAACTGACAAGAATATTCTATAAAACTGACAGTAAGCAAATTCTCACATCATATGGAAATTTTGAGGGCAGAAAAAAATCAATTCTTCATGGAAATTTTTAGATTCATTAAATATGGGAAATAAAATTATTTTAAATGTGCTGTTATACAAACAAACTTACTTATTAATATACTTAAATGTACTGCACTGCTTTCCCAGAAACAGGTAGTCTAGAAAATACAATGCAATCTTTGGATTTTAAGGAATTTTTCTACATCTAACTTTATGCTCCTATATTGAACAATCTAAGGTACTGCATCAGTGTATGTACACATATTTTAAATGGCACAGTATTTACTATGAATATTTTACTGAATTCATAAATGCTACATGACATCTAATCTCTACTATGGTCACAGAAATTTTTTACTTTTTCCATTTATTACATATTGGTGTTTTTAAAAGATGTTCACTATTTCTCCAAAATTTAAATTTTTGAGGTTGTGGCCAAAAAAAGAAAACAAAAAATCTGAACACAATACCTACATGATGTTGAACACTTCAAAAGTTAAATAAGAACTACTATTGATCCAACAAAGTCACTAAATTTATTTAAACTTTTAAAATAATCTCCATTTCAAAGATAGTATCATTGAGCTTAAGACTCAGTATCAAATAAATTGCTTTGAACTAAACCATAACTGAAAAAAGGCTAAGACCCATTCAAGGACTTTAAAGTTATATTTTAGAATATTTCAACTAATTAGAAATGAATAAATATTAATGTTGAACTTAAAACTCAAGTAATGCTTTTCAGACAGTAGTAATAAAGTGGTCAATGGCTCCAAAGTTTAAGAAGACTGATCCAACCTGGATTATTTAAACTTGTAATAAATAGATGTATTTTCTTGGAAAAATATCTATTGTTATAGTAAAACTTGAGTTTCCTTTCTAATGAGATTGTATGATTACTCGTTTATATTGTTCTTTCCGCAGGAATTTACACACCCCCTGTTTGCATCCTGTTATTCATTGTGAGCTTCCCTTCCCTTCTCTATGCTGTGTCCCTAACGGTGGAAGAGTGGGGCATGCACAGAAAATCTAAGCACTGTCAGCACACTCCAAGTCTCCCTGTTCACATTAAGCCTATTCATGAGATACTACAAATTTTCATTCTCTTATGCTCTGAAACATTGTATTATGTTCCCAGACTACTAGTGGTCTACAGGAAACATAAGGATCTTTTTGTTTTTTAATGAATTTTTTCTCCCTACCTGTTATCTGACTTTATGTTCATTTATTGAACAATCTAGAGCACTGCTTGAGATTTATGACACCAGTAAGGCTCACCCAAACACATTTATTGTCTTAACATTCCATATTTAGAGTCTTCCTTCAAAAGGCAAAGAAAGCCATATATAGCTAAGGGCACTGCCACACATTATATGACATACTTATTAAAATATTGTCTCCTGAATTTTACATAAAACTGATTGTATCAGAACATATGAGGAATGCTCTAATAGACAATTCTTTGAAAGTAACTCCTATGTACACCAGAGTTAGGAAGCAATAATACAAAGGATATAAAACTAAAGATCACATAGTTAATGAAGGAATGATTCAAATATGTAATGAGACTATTGTCAAATACACTGAACCAGAACAAAAAATAAATTGAGTAATAGAGAGTTAAAAAATACTTTTAACAAGAATTCCATGATGAGTCCTCTTGAACTCTAACATTCTCTCTATGGTAAACTTTGGAGTCTGCTTTATTTGAGGCACTGAGTAACACAGGTCTTATCATGCATATGTGTGGGTATCTACATCTACATATGCAAGTATGATGTACATATTAAACATATGTATGCAGAAATTTGTATTTACACTGGCAAACATGTATCTATCTAAAGTTAGTGATTATGTTAGTACTCTAAGGGACTTCAGTTCTGATCTCCTACCCTTCTTTAAAATTTTCATTTTAACAGTATTTTTATAATTAAAAAATATAAAATTTTTTATTGTAATTGATTTTTTTTTTGGTCAGTCGTGGGTCTTGAACTCTGGGACTGGGCGCTGTCCCTCAGCTCTTCCGCTCAAGTCTAGTGCTCTACCACTTGAGCCACATGACCACCTCCAGTTTTCTGGTGGTTAGATGGAGATGAGTCTCACAGACTTTATTGCCCAGGCTGGCTTTGAATTGCAATCATCAGATCTCAGCCTCCTGAATAGCTAGGATTACAGGCGTGAGCCACCAATGCCTGGCTGATTTAAACTGATTTTGAGACAAGGTCTTCCTATACAGCCCAGGCTATCCTGAAGTTTATGATTCACCTGCCCCAGCCTCTTATGTGTTAGTATTATAGGGATGTGTCACCATGCTCAGCTTCTGTTCTCCCACCTCTAAAGAATGTACAACCTATGCACTGTTTTTCTTTCTAACATATATATTTCATATATATGTTTAAATATATGTGTATGTGTAAATATATATATATATATATATATATATATATATATAGCTATCTACCATAGAGGAGCAACACAAAAAGGTAAAGTGACTCAGTTAAAAAGTCTTTACCACAGTCAAGAATGAAGGTCACCCTGGCCTCTAAATGTAAGCTGTCTTAGGTCAGAGACATCTCTTAAGTCATGGAATCCCACACTACAGTTGAGCAGTAGCCACAGCATGTAAGTAAATGCTAGATAGGGACACCATTTCATGCAGCTAGACATGAGCTCAAGATGACAATGTACAACAGTGACTCATACTTTAACATGCAAGAATTTAGCCCCACAATCAATGTGATAACACAGGTTTAGGGTGAGGTTCAAGAGTTAGCATTTCTAACAAATTCCAGGTATGCTGATGCTGCTTGTCCAGGGACTATGCTTATTAAAACCAGAGACCTAAGAAAAGGTCCCAAGAGCTTTCTATATTAGGGTTCCCGGGGGAAAAAAAAGAACTGAAATATGGTAAGGAAACGTAATGTAAGGAATCTGGAAACCTGAGTTTAGTTTCAACTCTATCACAAAATGATGACATGGCTGATAAACATACAGTCATAAGTAAACTATTGAATGCTGCACAAAGCATCTCTAAGATGAAGAGTTTAGTAGGAAGACATTGAAAATTTAAATGCTTTTTGTACAGATTAAAGAATATTTAAGCATCTATTAAACTTAAAATATATAATCATCCCTGCAATCACTACTTTGAATTAATGTATATTAGGCAGACTAAAACTGTTAAACTACAGTCCAAAAGAAATAACATACCAGCAAAAAAACAAATAAAATATGCATAGATGACACACATCAAATCAGGTAAACATAAATCCAAAGGGAAAATAATCATTTTACAATACTGTAGCTATAAATCACAAAATCAAGCATTCTGCAAATGTCTAGGGACTTCTTTAGATAGTATCATCTGAGAACTTGTTAGGCCACACCTAAACTTACTGCATAAGAATCTGTATCTTAACCTGATCTGTAAGTGGTGAATGAACACACTGATGTTTTACATACACTGATTATGTATCACTGAGATTTCATTGTTAAATTCCTTTACTACAGTTTAAAAATAAAAATGCAACATTTAAAAAAGAACATTTCTTGAAAAATCTGTTTTTGACTATAAAAAACAAGAGAAATTATGGAATTTTTTGCATGAGAAAAATCATTGAAACACTATTTTCAAACATATCTCCTATTTAAAATACTCTATGATGAATATTGTATAATTAAACGGTAACAAATGTCACCTAGACATTTAGTTTCACAGCAAAGTTGACAGCTGAGGTATAGGATGGTACCTAGTTTGAAGTTAGTTGGTCAGTGGCACAATGAAGAATGAAATTCAGTTTTGTTAACTCCAATGGGGAAACATTTTAAATTATATTTTCTTGCAGCAAACATACATTAAAAGATTAGAAATAAGTGCAATTTTCAAAGGATAAAAATAGAAAATGAAGTATCAATTTATACTTTTGTGTGTGTATATATGCCAGTTCTGGGACTTGAACTCAGGGCATGGGTACTGTTCCTGAGTCTTTTTGCTCAAGGCTAGCACTCTATCACCTGAGCTACAGCTCCCCTTCTGGCTATTGCTGGTTCACTGGTGATAAGAGTCTCATGACTTTCATACTCAGGCTGGCTTGGAAGCACAATCCTCAGATCTCAGCCTCCTGAATAACTAGGATTACAGGTGTGAGCCACCAACACCCGGCTTATAACTTAACATTCTTATGTGTGCTTTATTCTTGCCTTCTCAAATAAGATATCAAACTGGAAGAAGGAAAACTTCAATCAAAAATACATTAATTTGATCACAATTTCAAAATATATGATTTTCAAGGAATGATGACATATATAATTTAAGTGGTTACATCTGTTGCATGAATGAAACTGGAAAACTGATAAAAATCAGGGATAATTATAAATTTGCCTTTGTCACAATTTTTCTATGCACCAATAAAAACTTCGGGTATTGTAGACATATTAAACCTTGTCATACCGTCAAAGAAGCTCTTGGCTCTCAGATAACTGACACTGAGCCTAAGTACAGAAAGTTTGTCAAGCTTATTAATAACATCTTGTGGAAAAGGTAGCAGGCTAGCCAAACGGTCCAATTCTGTATTAAGTCGGTCTCGATGTCGCTTGGAAGGATTTGACTTGATTCCTTCAGCTGGAATTGGCTTTACTCTGAAAAGCAAACAAAGTAACATGAAAATCCTATCAAAAACTTGAAACAAAGATTTCTATTGCATTATAATGTATTCTTAAATATTTTTCTAATATAACAAATTTAAAAATCTACTTCAATTTATAAACAATTTGCCCAAATCTTCCGTGCATGTCCTAATTAAGAAAAACAAGGAAAATGGTAAAAGTCATGCTTTATTAAAATGCTTATTAACTCATTACAGGAAAATTCTAAATTCGTCTAATAGTTCGTGTGTGTGTGTGTGTGTGTTGCACATATGCAGTTTAGTAATTCCCAATTAATGAAGTCTATTATGAATCTTTCTCCCTCAAATACAGATATTGATAGAAAAGGATAAATAAAGACATGTACAATACATTAGGTAAAACTCAAGCTTCAGTTGCTATATTCCACATGAAGCATATCATCATTATGTTGCAAGAAATATAAAAAAAACTTAAATGTTTATCTTTATCATTCCCAGATTCCTATCTCTATAAACTTTTATCCCACTTAATAATGCCTTCCTAAGCTGTCTAATATCTGAGGTTGGTCTTCAGGGCATCTAATACAGACCTTAAATTCAGTAAGAAAACTAAATTTGACTCTATTCATATTTGTTGGATAATAAATATTATAGGTTAATTGGAGAGTTTTTTCATGACTGAGCATATTTCTACTTAATTATTATCATTCATACCATTGTGTCTCAATGAAACCCAAAAAATGTAGCACGAATGTCATCTAAGAGAAAAGATATTGCTGGGCACCGATGGCTCATGCCTATAATCCTGGTTACTCAGGAGACAGATCTGCAGCTCACCGTTCAAAGCCAGCCCAGGCAACAATGTCTGTGAGACTCATCACCAATTAACTACCAGAAAATCATAAGTGGAGCTGTGGCTCAAAGTGATAGCATGCCATGCTAGCCTGGTGCTAAAAAGCTCAGTGACAGTTTCCAGGCACTCCCTGAGTTCAAGCCCCATGATGGACAAACAAAAATAAGATATTTACGGGTAGGACAGAAATCTGAGTTCAGAAAAAATCAGATTCTTCACACAAAAAGACTTTTCCAATATTTTATAGCAGAAATTAAGTTCTTAAAATGATTTTACATATCATGTTACATTTTATCATGGCATTAGATGCCATAGTATAAATCAAAAACATATTGGAAAACTGAACACATTTTATACTCTCATCTCTATACCCTCTCAAATCTCAGAGGACTCTCAAAACAAAGACATTTTTGACAGGGAATATTGTTTTGTAAAGTAAAATAGCCTGGGTATGAAACTATTAATTTGATTTAACCAAAAGATTTCTAGATAGCTTATATTTTCATGACATGTGGAAAAGAAATATTTTACTGAGAAAGATGGTGACGCAGAGTAAATCAGGAATATTAATATATTTGTTATTTTCCCTAGGCAAGTAATTTTTTAACACTTGAATATTTCCATTTTCTTTTTTACATTTCATGGGTTTTTTCCCATGAAACAGATAACTGATTCTGTGATATACAGATAAAAGTCAATACTATATCCAGGCTGTGTATATAACACTCAATAGACTGTGGTAACTGTTCCCTAGCTACTTCCCTCTAAGCATATTCAAATAATAAACACATTCAAATCACAACTAATTACTACATTTCAATTTACTAACTGCACAATGTATGTCTTACCTTACTGTGTAATTCTGTACTGGTTAATAACTTGTTAAAAATAGTTATTTGTACCAAATCTGGTCAGCCAAGAAAACCACTCATATTCAAAAAGTGATAACAGAGGCACATTCATGTTCACTGTAGCACTATTCACAATAGCAAAGCTACAGAAACAGCCAAGACACCCTATCCTGATGAATGGAACAAAAAAAAGTGATATGTGTGTGTGTGTGTGTGTGTGTGTGTGTGTGTGTGTGTGATATAGTGCATTCCTTTGAATAAATAACATTCACTTTAACAACAATGAGTATTTGTCCTATCTTGGGTATAGGTGTAGTTGAGGAGAATGGACAAATGGAAAGAGTAAAGGAGGGTGAATGTGGCCAAAATACTTTATGTACCTGCATGGGAAGGGGAAGGAGGAAAGAGAATGATCAAGATTCATTGTATGCAGGAGTGGACATGCTGAAATCAAACTCCCTAGCACAACTAATTGAGGCTTGAAAAAAAAAAGTGTTGTGAATGGCTGAGTAGGAAGAATAACTGCTTGAAAAAAGATTTCACCCAAAGTTGGTATCTGAAATCGATCTTGAACCAGATTTCATGAGGGAGCATAACTAGGGATGGTAAATTGTTAGAAATTTCTTGTTTGAAGGTGAAGCAAGAAAGAAAAGAAAGAAGACAGAGAAAGAGGGAAGAAGGTAATATCAGGCCCATTCTTTCAACAGACAGTGAAAACCCACTATGTGACAGGAACAGAACAGTCACCAGTGAACCAGACATACAAAAACTCCCGTTCTCACAGACCTTATCTTGGATGACAGAGAAATAGATAAAGAGACAGACAGCTAGATTTTCCAGCTGATGAGTATTAAGAAAAATGAAGCAAGGTAAGGAAGAAGTAAGCACTGATGGAGGTGCTGCATTTGGCTGGCAGAGCATGTATCTCAGTGCAGATTTGAATGCAATGTAGGAAGAGCCATGAAGATGCTTGATAAAAGACACAGGAGAAACAGCAAGCTTCCCCAAAATCATTGTAGGAAACTGGACATTGGTGTCAGGGAGTTATGGTAAGCTCTGAGCTGGATCTGCACCCGCACGCTTGTTCTATTGTTTGTTTTTTAATCAGACTGACTTTGGTGACTGAGAATATTAAAAAAAAAAAACAGGGTAGGGTTTCCTAAAGTTAGGATTCTGTCACCAGTGACTGTATCACTCCTCTATTAATATCTTACAGCAGCCTGGGGCTTGTCCAAGCTAGCTTGGCAAGACCGCTTCGCAAAGGTCTTTCTAGCCTATATCTATCTACCTGACTGGCTTCATTGTGTATAGCCAAAGTCTTCTTTGTCCATTCTACTCCAGAGCTATAATGTTTCTGATACTTATCAACATGTATTTCTGTGCTTTTAGGAAACCCGGTTCTGTCTTATCCATTTCAAATCCTTGCTCCAGATTTCTATGGTCTCTGACTTAAAATTTGGATAGCTATCCAACTCCATATGTCTTCTGAGTCATACACAAACGCCTAGTGTACCATTCCATTATGAAATATTCTATACAAATAACATTGAAAATGCTTATTCAGTTCTATTCCTTTTGCTTTTTAGGTTGTTTTACAGACAGAATGTATCACTTTTGCCTAGGTTGGTCTTGACCTACCAGCTACTGCCTCTTCCTTTTGAGGAGCTGGGATTATAGGCATCATAACACTTAGCCCTCATCAAGACCTCCTGGTATTCTTGCAGTAATGATCATGAGAGATTCTGGAGGAGAATAATACAAATATTCCAGAGAGACAAGCTGATATGGAATAAAAAGTAACAGTAACTTAAATGTTATTTCTCTATGTAGTACACTGTCTTGTCACTGTACTGCCACTGTGCAGTACTCAATCCTGAACTATAATCTGAGGCTGGTTCTTTATACTATGCATAACCATCTACTTCTTTTTTTTGTTACTTATGAAGCATTTAGCTTGAAATCACATTTCCAAAATTGAAGTATTAAGTGATCTAACTACATAGACTGTAAAATGTTGAGGGAGTAAAGAAGTATCTGTGGCTCAATTTGTAGAGCAAAAATAGCCTTGAGAAAAAGCTTAGGGCCAGTGCCTTGGCCCTGAGTTCAAGCTGCAAGACCAGCACATATACAAACTCACAAAAAGTATTTATATCTGAAAATAAATTATTTGAATAATACTCATTGAAAACAAAAGTTTTTACCAGGTGCTAAGGGCTCATGCTTGTAATCCAAGCTACTCAGGTGTCTGAGATCTGAGTATTTTGGTTCGATGGCCGCCTGGAATGTAAGACTCTGATCTCCAATTCACTGCCGGAAAACCAGAAGTGGAGCTGTAGCTCAAAATGGTACAGCACTAACCTGAGCAAAAAGAGCTCAGGAATAGAACCCATGCCACGAATTCAAACCCCATGACATACAAAGGAAAAAAAAAGTTCTCAAAAGAGAAGTAGGTAGCAAATCAAAGATCTAAAGAGGAAAGCATGAATGACAAATATGAGATGAGCAAGTACTAGCCACCTATGGGAAACAGCAAATAGGTTCTTTCAGCCGCTATTAGATGGCTAACAGTGGAAAATAGGAAATCTCTAGAAGCCACAGGGGCCCATATGATTCAATGATGTTCACCTGGGTTTACTGTGAAGTTAGTAAAAAGGTAAGGCTTGGAGCCAAAAGACGTGTTATCCAATATCCAATCCAAGATTTTTACTTTCTTCCTGGGTAATTTTTAATGTGAACTATAGGTCCTATAAAACCTAAATATGATATTCTTTGTACTACTATAAATATGAAATAAATTATGTATATAAAGCACCATGCTCAATACTAAGTAGTATGAGAGTATGTGCAAATATAGACAATAACTTTGTTATGCTAAACTACCACACAAAAATGCTTTTAAATGTGGAAGTAGATTAAATGTGGAAGTAGTAGGTTAAAGATCTCATGGTACTTATGTCTAAGTAACTGTCTTAACTAAACACATGGACAAGCACAAGATAAGTAAGTTTATTAATTGGGGAAGTAAAGTGGCATGCTTTGGCTGTAGCAGTAAGAACATAACTATATACTGCCTTTTACTGTTTCACAGAAGTCTTTGTGCCATGATATGTAAGCTAACAGTATTGAATGAACAGAGCGATGTTTCCATCTCACTGATATCTTGTACAATGTTCACAATTATAAAGTGCTTATGCTTTAGTAATTTCAGTTATAACGGAAGCAGTGCAGTAGATTGTCCTGTTCTATCCACAAAGAAACTTGACCAAATCCACAACAGTGAGGGAACTTTTGTTAGATTCAGTCTTCTTTGGCTATTTAATGCTGCCTATAACTAAACACTTTCACTTACTTCACTTCATCACTTGCATTGGGTAGGAGTTCCCCAAGCTACAATGTATAAACTCTTAAATATAGTTACTTGAAAGAAAAACAATGATGAAACTTCAAAAATTATTTTGTAACCGAAGACTCATTAATAAGTATTATATAATGGAAGTAACAAAATTCAGTAGTTTGTATTACATATACAATGCTTAAGATGTTGAAATAGAATAAAATGAAATTCAGCACAGTCAGAAAGACAATGCTTTTATATTATGCTAATATTAACAGTATTTTAATAACATAAGAGTTTTAACAGGCGATCAACTAATGCTCCAGTCCTGACATCTCTTGAAAGCTAGCTTTATTGTCACTATTGCCGGTATTGTCTTTAGATAATACCATTTACAGATGCCATTTATCTAGTACAAAATACTTGCCAAAATTAAGTGCTAACTTTGTAGAAGTATGGTAAAATGAAATAGCATTAAAACATTTCAGCTATTAACAAAACTCCAAACTATAATCAAAGCTATTATCACTAGCAATAAAAAAAGCTTCTACTAATTCTAGAATGGGTTTTCAACTATCTTTGTGAAACAAAATAAAAATACATAAAGCATCCATCTCTAAATAGAATAAAACAAGAACAAGATTTAAGTAAATTTTTTTACTCTTTTTTAGAGCAGATTTACTAAATATAGATCATTCAAAAACCAGCTTTGAAATTTTCTTCTTAAAAGAAAGAATATGGATTTCATGCAAGATTGCTTCAGATACTTTAACTTGCTTTATTCCAAAGAGAATGGAAACACTGAATCTACAAGAGGTACTTTCCTGAAATTAAACACATTCAAAATATATTCTTGTATAGGTAATTTTTCAATGTGAGACCTGCCACTAGAGGGAGTTTCTTTTGCTCAGTACTGAAAGAGCTTCAAGTTAAAATTGTGTCATCCTATCTTATTCTCTAATCTTATAGAATCATATATCTGAATGGCCACTTTTAAAACAGTTCCATAATTATACTGCCATACATCTTCTCTGTAAGTAAAATAAAATGTCACTTAATGGGTCAACGTTAAGTAGATCTGAACAGCATTTTCAGCTTAAGCAAGATGTATTTTCCCCACTGTTGGCATGGCTTAGGCCTCATTAGCCACACACTAGTAGTTTAATTTAGAGACTCCTTTTAAAGTTTAATAGCCTCATTCTTAGACTTAACTTCAAGGAACTTCATTATAAAGTTAGTTATTGTTCCTTTGGGTAAAAATAAGTTGAAACATTCTCACTACCAGCACAAGTCTTTTAGTGACATTAAAGTATGATTAGAAGCAATGAATGTTGCTCAATAAACCAAAGATAGTTCTCAAATAAACACCTACCTAAATAAAATAAAGATGAACAAGGAAAATATGATAGATATATTCTAAGGAATTATTAAATACAAGTATAGTAAAGCCTGAGGAATCAATATTTTTAATAGAAGTACATTTTACTTAAAAATGTAGTAAGGTAAAAAGGCAAGGTGTTTTTTCATATTAACTAGAAACCAAAAATATTAAACTTATTATGAAAAAAATTAAACTTATGTTGAACATAAAATTAAAGTGTTTGACTTTGTATATAAATCAATTAATCTTTTTTATAACATACTGTCTGAAACCCAAGTGTCTTAAAAAAATCTATCATGGAGATCTTAAGATTTTTTTTGTCCATACACCCGTGATTACCTCTACTATATATTGTTCTAAAAATATAGTTGTATTAATAAATAAATGCACTAGGCATTGGAAAAGTCTATTTAGATACACATATTTAAATCATAAGCAGTATCACCAAGATAGGAAATTGCTAACTGAGCAATATTCTTGTTAATAGATGTACCATGAAACTTCCAAATTTTAATCAAGCTATTAAGCATGAACATTCCGTTAATGTCAATTTGTAAGTCAAGATCAGAAGAACTACAATAGTTGAAATTCTTAAAGGAAATTAATACTGCCTAAAAAACAATGCAACATATAAGATTTTAAGTAATTGAGCTGTTATTTTTCTGGTTCACATGTAATATAGTCCAATGTTGGCAAAATGCACACTTTATATTTCCTCTGTGTAAGCATTTAAATGTTTTTTTAATTGCTTAGAGACACTTGAAAAACATTGATGAGAGAAAGAAACTCAAAAAGTCATTTCAAATCCATTAATACACTTATCTCACAAAAGGAAATGTCTCCAGTGTGATTCTTTTCCACAAAAATTTTGAAGTGTTTCCTATCACATAAATTACTCCACCAAAACGAACAAACAAAAAAAGAAGTTTGTTCATCACTCTACTAGAATTGACAAAAATTTTGAATGGAAAAAGAAATTACAGGTAGATACTATGAGTAAAAAATTTTTTTCTCAATAAATTTCCAGCTCTAAGTCTTCTAAGCCCATATACAAAAAGAAAAAAAGAAAACTTCCCAAAAAGAAGATTAAAAGTACCTCCAGATCCTCCACTGTGACATACCAAAACACTGAACTCTCCTTCCTGCTACCATCCTTACACACCTCACTTGGATCACCACCAAAAAATAAGAAGAAGAATCACTGCCTAATAAGTAAATTAGAGCTCAACAGAAACCCCAGTTGCTATGGACAGAAAAAATACCTTTCAGAAACCCTCAGCCCCTTCCTTCACCTCCACCCCAAACTTTCTATCCAGAATCCTAATCAAGGCTGTCCTCTAAGCTACCTAACCCACGGGATATTTCGGGTGGTGAGGGATTGCAAGGCAGGCTTAGGCTAAGTAATCCAGGAGCACCCCCAAGGCAGGCCGTATGGACATGTGTACGGATGTGCATAGGAACACGCATATACACATACATACATGTACATATGTGCCTATATATTTGGAATAAGAACTGAAAACGGGAAAATTCACGTCCTGGGTCTCCACAACTGTCGGGCCAGCCTCGATCTCGCGGGCTAGGTGCAGCCCCTACCGGATTCCCCCACGGGATGGCGGGGATGGGTGGGGGGGGGTCGCCGCCGCCCGCCCCGCGCGCCCGCGCGCACAGCCCCCCCCCACGTCCACTCGGGTCACTCACGTTTTCTGCACCGGCTTCCGCCGCTTGCGACTGGCATAGGTGATGTTGGCGCTGCCGCTGTTCATTGTGTCCAGACCCGCGGCGGCTCCTTTCTCAGGCACGAGCAGCCCGGTGTCCCGGACCCAGCGACGGCCGGCCGGCGCCGCGTCCCGAGGAGCCGCGCCCGCTCCACCTGCGTCCT